TTTGGAAAATTTTCATACTCACATTCCAAGAAATCGATTTTATACGAATTTTTAAAACTTAATCGGCGAAAATTGCAAAATTCGAAAATCAAAAATTTATTTCTCAAGAACTAAAAGTGATTTTTCAAAACGGCTTTTTGCATTAAAAAGAGGATACTTTAATTAATAATTGGTGATATTTCTACAAGAATTAATCTGAATTTATCGATAATTTTTTTGTAATTTTAATTGACGTAATACAGAAAGTCAAAGAAAAGAAGAGAAATCTACAAATGAAAAAAGAAGAAGATATATATAAAAGTATACATATAAAAGCTACATAAACAGGATTAACGGAGCTAAAAAGTAGTCAGAGACGCAAAGAATGGAGTATAAGAAGATTTCGGCAAAGCTTAAAGGCAACACAAACATAAGAAAAAGATTAGGACGACAGTTAAACATTTAAGAGGAAAATATGGCAAAAGAACATGATGTATAAAGGATAAGAATTGAATTATTACGAAGATAAGATTTAAGGTAAGAAAAGTTGGTCCAGAGGGAGCAAATACAATACAAAAATCTCTGAAGATGATCTCTGAAGACCGCAGGCGACCTCGGCTTAAGTTGAAAATGAAAGGTATAACATTACCTGATTAAGCCAAAATTAGCGAACATACAAGGACTGCCTCGGTCGCAAACGACCTCAGCTCAACTTAAAAAGAAAATTGTATGATATTGCCTATTAAATCAATATTGGTGAACATAAATGGTTGTACAAATTTAGAACTAGTTCTGTTTCCACCTAAAGACGGAGCAGATACAGATATAGATAATGTATCAAGTGATGAAGAAAATGAAGATTCCGTTAGAACAATTGGTAAAGGTGTTCTAAGATGCCCCATGGAAATTTTTAGTACAAATCATGACAATGAGAAGGAAGAAGTGCCACTGCACAAGAAATGACATTTGATGGTGATGACGATATGATCAAGAAATTAGGAATAATATAAAAACGAGAAAATGGGAAACAAAAAACTTCGTCAGGAAATTAGATAAAGTTAAAATTTCTGCAACACTAGCACCTAATTTTGTACAGAAAATAAAGGGTGAAAATCTAGAGGCTATCGATACTTTTAGATTATTATTATATATTTAATCCTGGCAACAAACTTTACAAAATTCAGCCACTACAGGATCACTTAAACAATTAATCACAGAAAATGTTTCAACCCCTAGGTAATTCATTTTCTGTAGATGAAGGAATGGAACCTACTATGGGCATCATAGCATGGAGCAATTTATAAAAGGAAAACCTGTAAGATATGGTTTTAAATTTTGGTGTCTAACCACTTCTGAAGATTATCTACTAAAATTTAATCCGGATTGTGGAGCTAGTGATAAAATTACTTAAAAGGAAAGACTTTGGGCTCTATACCAAAAGCTCTGCTTAACAAAGCACTGTATATTTGGACAATTTCTTCAACTGGCTGATATTGCAGCATACATTTTAATCATACAACATAAATTGAATTTGCACAATAAAGTCAGATAGAATAGAAACAGAAAAAAAAGGTTCACTGAAGGATTTGAAGAAAGAGACTAGAGGATCAACACATAGTTAACGAATATAGCCAATGAAATATCACTAATACGTTGGAATGATAATAATGTAGTGACCTTGGTAACAAATATTTTGGATTTTGATTTATGTTTTTCAAAGGGGACGTTATAAGCGATGCCGATGGTCGAAAAAAGATACAGAACTTTTGCAACAAAACGAGGAAACAAGCGCAGAAAAGTAGCCACACAGAACGAGTGGAAGGGGGGAAATCGTATAGTTGTGTTACAAAAGTTCCGTGCCCTACTGATAAGTCTGTAGAACCAAGGAACGAGGTCTACAGAATCAGAGTAAGATCTATAAAATGGTATTGGCCATACATACGACTTTGTCTAAATGGCTCTATAGTAAATATGTGGTTACTATACTGATTCGCAAATCCTAGAACAAAGCTACTCGACTTTATAAGACCAATAGTACTAGCAACTCCAACAGTTCCACATCATGTAGCTGGTCCGAAGCCTAAATCTTCTAAAGTTGTTCTTAACTAAAAAAAACATACTTTGAAATAAAATAACCGATCCTTTTTGTAATAATCCTTTATTTTGACTCTAATTAAGTAATATTCCGAAAAAAAGACAAGTTAAAACAAAAAAAAATAGTTGGGCGTCAATGGGTTAAGCCAAAATTACCAACCATACAACGACTGCCTCGGCCGGAAGCGACCTCGGCTAACTTAAAAAGGAAATTGTATGATATCGCCTGTTAAATTAATATTGTTGAACATGTACTGACTGCCTCGGCTGCAAGCGATCTCGGCTTAAGTTGGAAATAAAAATGTATAACATTGCCTGATTAAGCTAAAATTAGTAAACATACAAAGACTGCCTCGGCCGCAAGTGACCTCGGCTCAACTTAAAAAGGAAATTGTATCATATCGCCTGTTAAACTAATATTGTTGAACATATAGTGATTGCCTCGGCCGCACGCGACCTCGGCTTATGTTTGAAATGAAAATGTACGACATTGCCTGATTAAGCCAAAATTAGTAAATATGTATGCAAGAACTGCCTCGGCCGCAAGCGACCTCGGCTCAACGTAAAAGGGAAATTGTATGACATCGCCTGTTAAACCAATATTATTGAACATATAGAGACTGCCTCGGCCGCAAGCGACCTCGGCTTAAGTTGGAAATAAAAATATACAACATTACCTGATTAAACCAAAATTAGTAAATATGTATGCAAGAGCTGCCTCGGCCGCAAGCCACCTCGGCTCAACGTAAAAAGGAAATTGTATGACATCGCCTGTTAAACTAATATTGTTGAACATATACTGACTGCCTCGGCCGCAAGCGACCTCGGCTTAAGTTGGAAATGAAAATGTGTAACATCGCCTGATTAAGCCAAAATTAGCAAACATATAAAGACTGTCTCGGCCGCAAGCGACCTCGGTTCAACTTAATAAAAAGAAAATTGTATGATATCGCCTGTTAAACCAATATTATTGAACATATAGAGACTGCCCCGGCCGCAAGCGACCTCGGCTTAGGTTGAAAATGAGAATGTATCACATTGCCTGATTAAGCCAAAATTAGTAAATATGTATGCAAGAACTGCCTCGGCCGCAAGCGACCTCGGCTCAACTTAAAAAGAAAATTGTATGACATACTGACTGCCTCGGCCGCAAGCGACCTCGGCTTAAGTTGGAAATGAAAGTGTGTGACATTGCCTGATTAAGGCAAAACTAGCAAACATACAAAGACTGCCTCGGCCGCAAGCGATCCGACTCAACTTAAAAAGGAAACTGTATGATATCACCTATTAAACTAATATAGGTGAACATATACTAACTGCCTCGGCCGCAAGCGACCTCGGCTTAAGTTGGAAATGAAAATTTATGACATGGCCTGATTAAGCCAAAATTAGTAAACATACAAAGACTGCCTCGGCCTCGGCTTATGTTGGAAATGAAGATATTGTAAAGTAATATAAATTAAATTGGAATTCGAATACAAATAACAAAAGCACAAAAATCCCTCTTATTTCCCTTGCAGGAAGAACACGGAAAACCCCTCAATCCATCTTTGGGGGAGGCTTCCTTGAATAACGTCACAAAAGCAAGAAGGGACTTGAGCAGGAAGATCTCGGCACAAAAAATGTGACAAAAAGCTCACAAGCTATGCTTCCTGGGCTTTTCAAAAACTAAACACATCTCATGACTCCTGCCTTGTGTTGAGCTGCTTGTATCCCGTCAGCGACACAATCATTGTAAACAAGTATAAATTAGCAAATCTATCTTGGCTAGTGACTTGCACAGAAGAAGGAGTGCGATAGAGGATCATCACATACATCACAATATTACAGCTTCTAAGATATACATAGGTGAAATTGTAGATGCTTTAACTAATTAACCCATTTGCATCAAACGAAATAATAAAGTGGCCCATATTAGACATAATCGTTCTACCATCATATAAAGAGAATGACAAGCAAGATGAAAACTACAGAAATTCAAGTATCCAAGTATCAATCTATAAATCAGATTCATCGTCATAAATTCTCCAAGGTATTAGTTTACAAACTAATTTATATGTACAGTGTTTCCCAAAAGTAAAATGTCTTCTGAATTACTTGATTACTATACTTACCATTCTAACTAAACAGCTTTGGTGCAATCTCGAAGTCTATCAGTATTGATAATTGGAATATGTCTATATTGTTTTTCCAGAGTGAGTTGTCGATCATCCAGTCTTGATCCCAATATTTTCATTGCCAAAGATTCCAATTTGTCTTTAACGATGTTTATGAATGCTTTGTTGGTCGTGCTAAGTAGTGGTGTCTTTCTATATTTGTCACATGGTAATTTATCTCCTTTTTTGTGTATTGGGCATATCATACTTGTTTTGTATTCCTTTGGTATTTGCTCGCTAATTAATATTTTTATCCCCCACACTTGAAGAGTTCTTTAGCAATCTCAGTTCTTTCTGCCTTCAGTAGATATCATGTTTAGATATCATTCATGTTTTCTTTCTCTTGTTATCAGCATCTTGCTTATCTTCTTTGTTCCTGAGATATATCTTATTTATATTACCCATATTGGGCATCTCCTCACTATTACCGAATATAATTTCACGTTTCGGGCTGATATTTACAGCAAATTTAGGTTTTTGCGTATCTTTACATTAAATTAATCTCAATTTATGAATTATTTCTTGTAATTTATAAAATTGACGTTTAAGAATTGTCAAAATTAAATTTTATTGCCAACTTAAATTTAGGTAGTTATTTTTTTAAATATTTATAATTTCATTTTTAAATTTAAATGTTTATTCTTTTATAAACATTATAAATTTAAAAATGATTATTTAACAATGAATACGATTAAAAATAGATAAAATTATTTAATTTTATTAAATTTCATAACCTAAAAATAAAATCATTTCAAACACGTCAATTTGACATTTAAATGTCAAGTTTTTTAGATTGTGGTTTTATTTTTTATTTATAACTAATTTTTAATTAAAAATCTTTGTCTGCATCAATTAACAGGTAAATTTTAAACAAATTTTTAATATAATTATCGTTTTTAACCGGTTTTTTATTTCAGATTAATTTTTTTTTATTTTTAGGTTATAATTGTTTGTGAAACGTTTTTGCTGGGTTATAAAGAAGAATTACGTAATAAAACGCGCGCTAGTTGACACCGTTGATGACCCGGGCAAACACAGCGGTAGTAACCGGCATGAAACAAAACGGTCTTTTCTTGGGAGAGGAATAAAACGATCTTTACAGGTGCACGAACCTGCCACACCGTGCTTAGGTACCTTCCTCTACTTAAAAAAAGGTTTAAACCCGACCGCACAAGAAAGAAGAAAGAACCAAGTTAGAAAATGACTCATTCTTAACTTTAGAGAATGGGTTCTAACGTGAGATCTCAAAGAATCGCCTCACCGAGCAAAAATGATCCATATTTTGCGTTCCAAGAATAAATTTCAAATCAACCGTGAGAAAATAACTAAACTTTTTTGTTGTTGTTTGATGAAATAGAAGAATTTGAATATAAAAAGTTTGTGGTTATTATAATAGATGTTAAAGTGGCGTTTAATGGGTCAGCTTCTTCAAGAAATCTGGGTTAGTCAAACGATGTTAAGTTTAATATTTAAATAACCGTAAAAAAATTGTTGGAAACAATTTTCGAAAAATTCTTTTAAATTTTTATTACCTGGATCATTTCTCCCTAAGCTTTTACAAAAGCACCAATCAAAAACAACCATTAAAAACGTAAATAACATCAAAGTTTTCCCGCACATTTTCGTTCCAAAAAACCAAACATTTCAAAATAGATTAACTCACAAATTAACTTAAAAATTGTGTCTTTATTTATTTATTTTTCTTTATCAGGACGTCTTCTCAAAGCTACGCCGGTTCGTTTAAAACTGACTCAGCACCGAACAACACCGCCGACGAAGAAAAGAGGAGGTAAAGGAGAAGGAGGAGGAGGTAGTAGGAAAAGATGTTAGGTTGCGGCACAATACAAAAGAAATTTTTATGGTTTTAAAAGCGAACAAGTGGAACTACCGCGTGATCATAACAAAAATATATTACTTTGAACCAAAAAAGAAAAATAAATTTATCGAAAAAAATTAAACAAGAAATCAATCATAACTTAACGTCTAAAATAGCAATAAAACCCGATAAAAAATTATAAATAATATTTTTTAATATAGGCAACCCAATCAACACAGTCTCAAATAATCAGAAATTGTCAATTATACATGATCGTCAGGCAAGAGATGGCGCTAGTTTAAAGTTAATAAATTTGTTATTTAATTCTTTGTGTTAAATCCAATAACTAACCCATTTGGATTATAAGCTCAGATATTTGTGGAATAACTAACATTAAATTTACTTTTATTTTTGAAAATAACCTAATTCAACTTCATTCCTTTTAGACAGCTTTTCTTCATAAATTTTTATTATTAACACTGCAATTTTTTTATCAAATCATAAAATATCATCTTTTATCTTCAATTTGTGATATAAATCGTTTCTTAACTCCCAAAAATAAAGCGAAGACGATTTTTTTTAATTTTGACGTTTTCGAACATAACCTAATTCAACTTAATTCCTTTTAAAGAGCTTTTCTCCACAAATTTTTATTATTAACACTGCAATTTTTTTATGAAATCATAAAATATCATCTTTTATCTTCAATTTGTGATATAAATCGTTTTTTAACTCCCAAAAATAAAGCGAAGACGATTTTTTTTAATTTTGACGTTTTCGAACATAACCCAATTTAACTTAATTCCTTTTAAGCAGCTTTTCTCCAAAAATTTTTATTATCAACACTGCAATTTTTTGATCAAATCATAAAATATCATCTTTTATCTTCAATTTGTGATATGAATCGTTTCTTAACTCCCAAAAATAAAGCGAAGACGATTTTTTTTAATTTTGACGTTTTCGAACAAAACCTAATTCAACTTAATTTCTTTTAAAGAGCTTTTCTCCAACAATTTTTATTATTAACACTGCAATTTTTTTATCAAATCATAAATTATCATCTTTTAGCTTCAATTTGTGATATAAATCGTTTCTTAACTCCCAAAAATAAAGCGAAGACGATTTTTTTTAATTTTAACGTTTTCGAACACAACCTAATTCAACTTAATTCCTTTTAAAGAGCTTTTCTCCACAAATTTTTATTATTAACACTGCAATTTCTTTATCAAATCATAAAATATCATCTTTTATCTTCAATTTGTGATATAAATCGTTTCTTAACTCCCAAAAATAAAGCAAAGACGATTTTTTTAAATTTTGACGTTTTCGAACATAACATAATTCAACTTAATTTCTTTTAAAGAGCTTTTCTCCACAAATTTTTATTATCAACACTGCAATTTTTTTATCAAATCATAAAATATCAACTTTTATCTTCAATTTGTGATATAAATCGTTTCTTAACTTCCAAAAATAAAGCGAAGACGATTTTTTTTAATTTTGACGTTTTCGAACAACCCAATTTAACTTAATTCCTTTTAAGCAGCTTTTCTCCACAAATTTTTATTATTAACACTGCAATTTTTTTATCAAATCATAAAATATCATCTTTTATCTTCAATTTGTGATATAAATCGTTTCTTAACTCCCAAAAATGAAGCGAAGACGATTTTTTTTAATCTTGACGTTTTCGAACATAACCTGAAAGGTTAAATAAGTTGCCTACGTATTAAAAAAAAATAATTTTAATCAAATCAAGTTAGAAAATACATTAACGTCAAATTCAAAATTTAAAGTATTAAAATAACCATTTCCACATGAAACAACAAGCGAACATGAATTCAAAACACTTTAAGCAAAAAAAGAAAATGTACGAAGCAACGTGGCAACTACAAATGTTCAGGGAGAAGAGACATCAGAAACGGGTGAAGGGTATTCGTCGGATGAGATCGATTTTGCATCGAATGAAGAGGATGGTGAGACGCGGGAAGCAACGGCTCGATCTTTTGGAGGACGAATACAAGAAGATATCGACGTCGAATCCCGAAAAACAGCCGTTTTTGAATCGATCCTTGGTCAGTTTGTACACCACGTGTAGTTCTTAAAATATCAAAAAGACGAACTGTTAATTTGATGTTTATTTTTTGGATTAATAATAA